GACTCCTTCGGGCTTTTTCTCGAAAACGACTAAGGGTCTGGGCCCTTGTTTCCTAACTCTTTCTCGCCGAGTCCCTCAGTCGAGGCGACTCTTTAGGCTTTTCCTTTCTCAGAAACGGTTTAGGGTCAGTGCCTCGTTGTTTCTATATATACTCGCCGAGTCCCTCAGTCGAGGCGACTCCTTCTGGCTTTTTCTCGGAAACGACTAAGGGTTTGGGCCCTTGTTTCCTAACTCTTTCTCGCCGGGTCCCTCAGTCAAGGCGACTCTTTAGGCTTTTCCTTTCTCAGAAACGGTTTAGGGTCAGTGCCCCGTTGTTTCTATATATACTCGCCGAGTCCCTCAGTCGAGGCGACTCCTTCGGGCTTTTTCTCGGAAACGACTAAGGGTCTGGGCCCTTGTTTCCTAACTCTTTCTCGCCGAGTCCCTCAGTCGAGGCGACTCTTTAGGCTTTTCCTTTCTCAGAAACGGTTTAGGGTCAGTGCCCCGTTGTTTCTATATATACTCGCCGAGTCCCTCAGTCGAGGCGACTCCTTCTGGCTTTTTCTCGGAAACGACTAAGAGTTTGGGCCCTTGTTTCCTAACTCTTTCTCGCCGAGTCCCTCGGTCGAGGTGACCCATTAGGCTTTTTCTATCTCAGAAACAGTTTAGGGTCAGTGCCCCGTCGTTTCTCTCAATACTCGCCGAGTCCCTCAGTCGAGGCGACTCCTGTAGGCTTTTTCTCGGAAACGTCTAAGGGTCTGGGCCCTTGTTTCCTATCTTTTCTTGCCGAGTCCCTCGGTCGAGGTGACCCATTAGGTTTTTTCTATCTCAGAAACAGTTTAGGGTCAGTGCCCCGTCGTTTCTTTTCATTTTCTCTCGCCGAGTCCCTGCTCGAGGCGAGTCCTGGCTATGATTATTATTTTCTAACAAACTTCTGAGAGCTTGGACTCTTGGTTCTTTCTTTACTGACTCGCGTTTTTTAGTCGGGGTGATTCTCGGTTGTAGCTTTACTTTTCCTTCCTTTATGTAGCCCCTTATAGATGAGAAATACCATGAGCAATATCTTGGAATATATTTTCTTGCCATGCCCAGTCTATTGTGCGGCACATGTGACTGGAAATTAAGCTCGCCATATGTCGAAAAATCCATCCTTCAAACTCGCGTAAATGATAATACTCAGGCAGTCGGTTTTGAAGCACCTTAGTATTTCCCACCGAGCTGAAAAAATAGTAACGCTGGGGCGAGAGGAGTCGAGCCCTGGCCTCCTTATTTTCTCCCATGACTTTTACCAATCTTACACAATTAAATTTTTGAATCTCTATAGCATTTGAATGTAACACACTTCAGTCGTGGACAGGTTACGAGATGTGTCCCGCTTTAGGATTTTCCCGCCGAATAGCTCCAGTTTTGAGACCATCATCAGTCAGCATGCAAGACCACACGTTATTCTTCCTTCCTTGTACTTTTCTCCATTAGACAAATTAACTTCAAACTCTCTCTGTATGATTTTTGATCGCAAAAGAGCGGCTGACTTCGGCATTAGAAGCATAATTTTCCGACTTCTCTTTGCTACCGGAAGAGTCATATGACGAACCAGGTAAACTCATTAACAGAACATCCTCAATTTCAATGACCGGATCTTTGAGCAATCCTTGAAGCAGTTTCCATCTTCTTCCTACTTTATTTAATCGACGACTATAGCACAGATATGTAGAGCAGGATTTGTGATTCTTTATACCAAGTTTCCAAAGCCTGATGTTGCCCTCGTTGTTCTGCAACTCGGTCCGAGAATGGCCGCAGCTCCTCTTGTCAACCACGAGCGACTCCGTCGAGCAATCGCCGGGGACTCTGCCTGCCATTCGAGCAACGCCGGATCTCTTCCACACCGTGTGAGCAGGCAATGAGTGCGTCAAAGGCGTCGGAGAGAGGGTCACGCTGGTTGCGAAGCGGCCAGAATATTGCTCACTTAGTCGGATCCTTGATGGGCAATATCCGACTCGGGCTTTAGTCACTACCCTGATACTTATTCGGGAAATACTCTTAGTGGTTGTGTTGCCGACTGATTTTCGATGATTCTGTATGGATGAGGAGTCGGCTGCTGTGACGAGGCTGTTCATGGTTGGGAATTTTGTCGCCATGGACGCCGACTCCGTGTCAGGAGTCTGATCATTTAGTTTAGAGTAGATGGAGTCGGCGCAGTGTGGACTCGTCGGTCTGTACGGAGAGAACGGGGTCGGCGAGAAAATGAAGTCGCGGGAACACATGCAGTCCCCCCCTGTTCAGGCGATTGGGGGAAGAACGCCATCTATGACTCTTTCTTTTCGCCGGGTGTGCCATCGCCGACTCTTTCCGGCAACTGAGGATCATATTGCCGCCGTTTACTCTGCTCATGCCCACTATCCCTCTTCGTCATCTTCAGACCATCAATATTTTTGACTGTAGATTTCATGAGCAGCATCCCCTTTGTCGCGTTCGCAGGCCATCAATTGACTCGGATTATTTTTCCATCACAATCGCAAGGGAAGAGCTTCCAGAACGCCTCGTCACAAGGCGAGAATGAAGAATTCGCGCAACGGGGAGGCCGAGTCCGTGCCCATCGTTCACCCCTGTTCTAGTGTTGACCGGGCTCTCTTGTATTTGAGTTGATTTTTTACCACCGACTCCGCAACCGGCCGTACGCTCACTGATGATCTCGACCTTGTCCTTTGTGATCACCGAATGAGATGAAAGCCGCGTGGACTCGGCGGACATCCCCAACCTTCTCCGGCGAGAATACCCGACTGGTTCCTGCTGACTGGGCGTTTCTACGGAGCCCGTTAGTTTGGATCGCATTTTCCAAAACGCGGAAGACATTATCGAGTCCACCGGCGACATCGGAGTGAGATACGTGGTAGATCAGTCTGAGGAAGAATCTGCCGTCCTTGAAGTGAAGACTCTGGAAATTCCCTTATTTTCTTTACCGTTTTATTCTTCTGCTTCATCAAGCTAACATGTGTAAAGTCTTTCATCAGAATGCTCAGCGCAAGTTGCTTGTAAAGAGCATCAGCAATGACTTGGGTCGGGTTACTGCAAGTATGGTGTTTCCCTCTGGTGCAACCTATCGACTGCTTCGCCACTTCTCACTGACTCGGCATAACCGATCCACAGATGAAGATTTGAGTCCATTTTTCATCCGACTCTTCCTACGTCGACAACCGAAAGAACTAGCGGTGGTGTTTTGACTTGCGATCGATCAGCAGTGGTGTCAACTTGTGGTCAGGTGGGCGTTGCCATCAACTTGCAGTCTGGTCGGCTGTGGTTGCCGGGATCGGTGGCTTTGGTTGCGAGCTCGGCAAAGGTCGCCGGAATTGGGGCCTTGGTTGCGGACTCGGCCTTCGACTTTGGACTCGGCGGAATAACAACGAACACCCATGTATGTAGCAAATACTCACATGGACTCGGCAGATTGGGGGAATAACCCTGAACTCTTATATGTGTAAGCGGTAGATTTTTGTTATGAATCACTTCAGAACGCCATGTAAAGCAGAGCGTTAGAGCTCTTTAGAAAAAAAATGGAAGAACCCAGAATCTCACGACAAAAGCTTTGTTATGTGGGGAATCAGATCACCCTCCGAATATATTGGAGCGCATGGAGGTATGTTCTCAAAATACTCCTTTTTTTTTTTTTTTTTTTTTTTTGGACTGCCGGCTGCAAGTTCCCGTAAAAGCATTTAAAATTCCATGCTTTCCAAAAATTAGGAATTATGTTGGAAATTCCTTTTTCCTCTTTAAGCACAGTAGACATCCATTTTCCATATGTCATGTGGAAAAATATGACAATTGTGCGTAAACTTTTCCTTTCCTTTGATTCTGGCCGTCCATTTTTCCAAAGGACGGTCTCGGATTTTCTTGTTGTGATGATATTAGAATGTGTATACTGGGGAGTTTCCTTTACAAGCCTCTTTTAACAACATACTGCTTGTCGGGCTCCATATAATCAAAGTTTTTCGCATAATCAAGAGAAAAATTAGAGAAAACAACTGTGACCACGGTGTCTACCGTTAAGGTCACGGTGGGGGAACCATTTATTCGGCGTCCCGACTTCTTGATTCCCCCGGCCGAGTCCCTCAGTGTGATGGACCGGCCACTCTTTGCCAACAACTCTGAGTACTTTAATTTAAATATTACATCTAATTTAAGGGTTACCTCTTGTAGACCTCAACACACAGTTTTATTTGCTTGATTCTCCTCTAGTCCTCTTCTTGGTCCACGGTTCTCCGTGAACCTTCTCAATCTTCCGTCCGTAGTGACTGGACGCTCTCCGAAATTGCTCAGACAAAGAGGCAAACGCGACATTTTGTCACGATCCCCACAGACGGTGCCAGTGTTGGTTTTTGGGTTTTCGGGCCCAAGGAGGTCCAACACAACCTTTCAGCTGGAGGATACACCTTTCACAAAAAGTCTGAATTTCAATGAAATGCGATGCTAATAATACTTTGTATTCCCTTTCCGGGTTCTCTCGAATCTCCCTCTTACAAGGGTGGAGGAGCCCTTTTATAGTGGCTCCTCCCTCACTGACTTAAAGGCCCATAATGGCCGACTTCAAGGCTGCTTTCAAGGTGCCGAGCCGTTGAGTGACGTTAAGGGGTCTACCAACGGCTCTTTCTAGCTTGTAACCGGCGGACCGAGTCCGGCCTTTAATGCCTCAACGGCTCCTCGTCTTAACTTCTTCGGAGGCTCCCTCAACGGCTCTCTGCACTGAGTCTTTCCCTGGGTTGGGCCCGGACCGACTCCTCGTCTCCGGCCCATGCTCAGGTTGGGTCGTCCTTCATAGCCCTGGCCTGGGCCTTCCATTTAGGCCTGGGCCGACTCCTGGACTCGGCCCACGCACTCTCCAGGCCCGCCTTGTGTCAGCCCATCCTTCTCTCTGGTCTTTCCTCTTTGGGCCCTCTTTTCTTGGGCCGGGGTTCTCACCCCATCACTAATCATCAACACAATTATCAACAAACTATCAAAAACAATATTATCAACAAACTATCAAAACACAATATTATCAACACTCAACCAATATACTATCAATACAATACTTTATATCAATACAATATAACATATAATCTATAACAAAAGTTACATACTCTTCCAAAAAATATTTTGCTCATAAGTCTCGAATCCCATCTATTTCATTGGTAGAGTACGAATTTCCTTCAAATACCTACAAAATAATTTAATTAATCAAATTACTAAATAAGTTAACTAATAAAATATAATTTAGCTATTCTATATAAATTTACTTACCAAAAGGCCAAAACGTATTTGATTTCCCCCAAAATCACCCTGTCCAAGCTTGTTGTTGGCTGAAAAGTTGTTGGTAGCTCTAGCTATGGTAGGAAAGTCAAAAATTGGTAGCTCAAATTCATTATCATGCAGTACTTCAGTCTTCTTTCTCCACAAACAGAACATCAAGCTCAGCCCTACGAGAATTAATCCAATAACTGATGACAAACTGGTTGCAAGTAGTTCCAACTTTTTACCACGTTTCCTTTTGGAGCCTACATCAGAAACTAAGAAAACATTGTGTATACTGTAGTGAGCACCATGATAAAAGAAACCAAGGCTGACTTGAATAATTTCAGATGTAAAAGACAATTTACCATTCAAGAATCCATGAGTTGTATTCTTATCTAGCTCAGAAGATGCAAGCCTGATATATATGTCTTGACCTCTATCAGATAGCTTTCTAATGTCAATCAAGTCCCCGAACCAGAGCAAACAGCCACTTCCCCCATTCCTGATATCCAATCTTGAATAAGCAGTACAAGTGCAGTTCTTCAAGCAAACTTGCTCGCACTCTTGGAGTGTCATAGTCTCATCATACCAGGAGTACTTTGTATCTGGCAATTTAATGCCAGGATACTTCACAAATATATCTGTTCCATTGTTGCAGTGCAGGCCCCTCCTCCGAACACATCCTCCAGAATAATCTGCCATGTTCCATTCTTCTTGGTTTCTGGGAAGAAACTTATCCAAACATCCACAAATGGGAAAATTATAAATGTTGCAAATGCCATTTGCACAACATGCTCTGTACATATCACAAGAATCTGTAGGAAATTTTCCAAAATTAATCCAATTTTTCATCCCACCAACCCACACCAAGCGCTCGATAAAACCAGTGTTAGTTAAAACTAATATAGATATAATTGAGTTATTATTGAGAGAATAACTAGTATAAACCTCATGCTTGTTAATAACCAAAGCATATGTGTATATGGGATTTTTCATCTCTTGCTGGAGAAATGGGTAGTATGGAAAATAGTAAGGAAAATACAAAGAGCAGGAGAAATTCTCCCATGGCTAACTACCCCAAGTTCCCCTCCTACAACAATCATATATCTCTTCCATCATGCAGTACTGCAGTGTTTTAGAATTTCCAAATATTCATAATTATAAATTTTACTACCAGCACCTTTTTGACTTAGTCTTGCACTAAAAGTGTAGTATCTCTCTTGTTTTTTTCTCATCTTTCCCTGGTCTCATATGAGAAACAAATTTCATGATAATGGAGATGCCAATGGCCAACAAAGAGAAGACCCAAAACTCACTTTTCTTCCCCCAACTTGGACTAGAAAAATAAAGGGATGTTTAATTCATACAAAATAAATCTCACTGTTATAAGCAATTATTAAGCACACTAATAAGCATCTTTTATGACTCACAATATTAAGTGATAAATTACAGATCATTAGGGTATTCAAGCAAAGTGACAAACCATTGAAATTGAATGTTGGTTATTACTGTCCGATGATGGTCTGTCCAAGTTGGCTATTAGAAACTATTTCTGTCAGTTGAAAATTGTTGTGTTGCAGCTTTGACTCCTTGAACTCAACAGCATGCTTGGTAAAAACTTATAATAACCTCAAGACTGTCACAGTGCAGCCTTGTCAAAAAAATCAATTAACTTTCTTGTTGATCAATTACGCAATAGATTATGACCACTTTGGAGTGTCCATCAATGATACAATTGGAGCTTGACAGAAGCTTCTAAGCTTTCACCTAACTTTAACCCAGTAAAACTACAAATGAGATCGCAGTCATGTTGAAGCATGTCAATGGTGGTGTTGCCCACTTTGGAATTTAGAGAAATTAGAACAATCTGAAAAGATAGCTACACAATCTGTTTTTTTTTTTTTTTTTTCAGATGTTGACTTTTTTCAATACCCATTTTGGAATTTAGAGAAGCAAGAAGGATGGAAATGAGACAACATTCATGCTCTAAGTAAATTCCCATAAATCCCGGTCTCAAATCGCAGAGCTTTTCACCTCTGAATGCTAGCATAGACAAACACATTAACGTCCAATATTGCAGGACCTCATTTTTCAAAAGTGTCTATTAGAAAACAGTGTTACTTTCATCAGCGGAGCTCATTATTATCTTACTGCCTAATCATCTTTGATAAAAAAAATCACAGCTACTAACAACGCAACTTCCTACCTGTGCACAACTTTATTGATATCTAAATCTTAATAAGCAAAAGCTGTAAATAACTCTTTTTGCTCTTTTCATTTCAGAAAGAGTACCTTTTTGCTCTTTTCATTTCCTTTGATTGACCTCCCTGCCTTGTGAATCACTCTGATCCAAACAATTCTTGTGTAACCTCCATGATTTGGAGAGAAGAATGCACCTGTAAATAAAATTCTGCACATGAACTGTGAGGCATCATCTTAAGGTTGATAATTAGAACTTTGAATATTTTGGGAACTTTAAATGAAATTTTTTTATGACAAAAAGTTTGTAGAATAAGAACCACATTAAGGCAAACCTAGTCATCAATCAATCTTAACTCAGAATTTAGATAACTGGAATCAACATTCAAAGCAGCAGTAGTTTCAAGGGCTTAATGAATCTGAAAGCACCAATACAACGAGAGAACCTTCAATAAAGACTAGAAAACCACAATGGTATGACAAATTAGCAATAAACTTAGGCAATATAAAAACATTTCTCATTCATACATTCACACATCGATCAACATAAAAATCAAAGATTCAAGATACAGCCTGCAAAACATATCGCTTGTAATCCCATTTCATTACTCGTGGCCAGAAGATGGTGATAACAATATTGTTTTGCATGAAAGCATACAACAAAATATACAATTATCAGAAACAAAATATACAAAATATACAATTATAAAATTCAAAATTAAATAATTAAAATGTCAAAATTCTAAATAAAATAATAATAATCAAAATTCATAACCAAAATTCATACTTCTACCCATATTATGCCATATATGCACACATTACTACATAATCCCAACAAAAATAACAACTAAATTCATATTTTTACACATATTAGGGTATAACAACAAAAATAACAACAAATAACTAAAAATTCGAAATAAAAATTATCAAACTTAACAAATATAATATATATTACAATGATAATTATAAAAAAAATAATTTTAACAAAAAAGAAAAAAAAAATACCTGCACGTACAGTTCTACGGACCAGCTGCCGACAGTGGAATTCACAGAAGCAGCCGCGGCGATGGCGACGGTGGTGGCGGGGTCGTAGGTGGCTGATGAGAGAGGCGTTGGATTCCTTATCTTGGTGGCGGCGGCGGCTTTTGGCGACGGTGGTGGCGGGGTCGTAGGTGGCTGATGAGAGAGGCGTTGGATTCCTTATCTTGGTGGCGGCGGCGGCTTTTGATCGAGGCTGAGGGAGTCGTGGTGAGAGAGGCGGTGTAAGCGGCGTCGTGGGAGGATGAGGGAGGCGGTGGTGAGGGCGACAGCGGAGGTGTGGTCTGTGGTGTGGTGAGAGTGACGGCGGAAGCAGGAAGAGGCGTTGAGGAGAGTTGAGATATGAGCGAGCGCAGCTAGGGTCTAGCGAGATCTGTTTTTTTTTTTTTTTTTGTCATCGTTTATTTTTTTTTTTTTTTAAATTTTTGTTTCCAAATCTTGTTCCCGCTGCCCTTTCTACGAGCAAGGGCAGTGGAAAGTATTCATATTTACAATTATGCCACCGCATCTTTTTTTTGAAGAAAAAACTGCTACCCTTTTTGTAAAAACGGTAGCGGTTTCTTATTCATTTATTTACAAGTATGCCACCGTCCCTTTTCTTTTTAACAATGCACTACCCTTGTTTAAAGAAGGGTAGCCTAAAATCATATTTCTTTGCTCTATTTTGTACTAGTGAACCGACTCAATCACTGTCCGAATCGATCACAATGGCGCAAATAGAACAATCCAAAACTTTAACCGTGCTTGTGAAACAACTCACGGTAGGAATGGTTCTCAATGGAGAATATTTCATGAATGGAGCTCAAGACAAAGTTCTAGCAGCGAAGATCATCCAAGCATTGAAGAACTGTGGATTTTATGATTTTCTCTCCTACAAGTTTTCTGGAGCATTTGAAGAAGATGTGGTAGAATTCTACCTACATGCAAACGTGAAGAATGACCGAATTCTATCTACTGTTGGCGGAACACAAGTTGAAATTTCAGAAGAAGACATCAGAAGCTGTTTCAACTTTTCAAATTCTCAAATCCTTGTGGATACTCATCATTATGATCTTCAAAATTTCTGGGATGAAATCCGAGGTCCAAAAACACCAGAAATACCAGATTTATGCGATGAGAAAAATCTCTTGAAGCCTGAATATGAGATGCTGTTGGACGTAATTTACAAAGCCCTGGACAATAAATTGGGAACTTTGAAAAAATTCTCTGCTCCATATATTTGCTTGATGAATGGAATCATGAGTGGAATCAAGTTCAATTGGGCGAACTACATTTTTACCAAAATCATAGGCTTTATCCTTGCCGCAAAGGCAGTTGGAAGCCCACTCATAGGAGATCAATTTCTTCAAGGTGTTGGCTATGGACTTGTCATTGGAGAAATTTTGAGGAAGAAGAGAATACCTTTGAGAAAACACAAAAGTGTTGGAATCTATATGTACTTATTCAGGAAGTTTTCACCAGACTATGGGAAGAAAAGTCAGAAGAGAAAGGCATCCAAAGGAGGAACTTCTGCAAGCACAAAAACACCTCAATCAAGAGGATCTCAAATCAGAAGCAATAGGGCCGCATCAACTGCAAGTAATTTTATGGGGTCCAGTAATCCAACCATCAGAGATCAAGAAGCCACGAGCACAGCCATGACAGTTATACCGTTCCAAGGAGTGATTGAAGACGAAGCTCAAAATATGTGCCATCCGGGATTGCCAACTGAACCCATTGATGACACAACACGGATGGAACTAGCAGGAGTTGAAGTGCGAGTTTCCAATGAGCTGCAAAGAAGAATTTCAAGTCAATCAACAGGAGAAGCAAGTGCCGGACCGGTAGTGTTCAACACTATCCAAGATGATCCAAACTTGATGAACGAGCAGAACAGAGTCCAAGAATGGATAAATTGGAGAACTAAAAAATATCATTCATTCATCCAAAAGACTACTTCAGAATTGATAGGAAGTGAAGAATTTGCCTTGGAGTGGTGTGGAACAGATTCTATACTAGAGGCACTCAAGATGAACATCGATCAAGTTTACAGATCAAAACTTGAAGAGAAAAATGCAAGAGGCAAAGTTGTTGCAGCTGTGGCCGAAGAAAACGCAACTCAAATCTCACCAGCTCAATTGGAAAAGATTAATGAAGCTCAGCTACAGATTGCACTGCAAAGATCTATTGTGGACACTCATCACAATCCAGGTGAACCTTCTCTTAATATTGCTGATAATCTTCTTGATGCATTAAGAGAAAGGAATGAAGGAGATATTATATCTGTGTGTGCACCCGTGCTAAATATTGCTGATGGTGACCAAACCAGTGCTGTGATTGGTGATTTAAATTTGGTCAATATTCCTGTCATTGAAGCCGAAACACAGACAAATATTGAATCAAATAATGACCAAATTTTGAGTAATGTTGATGGTCCACAAGCCGAATTGAATGACTCTGCAGGGATGATGTTGACGTGGTCAGAGAACAAATAAGAGAAGATGTTGGAGATGAGATTAGAGAAGAAATTGGAGAACCTGTAAGTGAAGAAGTTCTGAATGAGAATAGAGAATTAATTGGGGGGAACAATTAATTGAAG